TCCGCATATTATATTTAAAGAAATCGACCTTTGCTCCATCGCAATGGTGAGAGAACGCTTTTTCCTTATCGACGTGAAAAATATTTTTGCTGTGTGTTATTTTTTATGATTGAAACGTAGACCTTCGCGTGTGCGTTCAAAAATAACTTTAATTGTACGTGTGCATTATAAAGCCGCTTTCACGTGTCAGCGCGGAGAGTCTATTATCATAATTATAGAAAATTATCCTTTGCCAAGCTCTTGTAATATACAAGCGCCAATCTGACTCTCTTTCTTTCTGTCCATAACGCACACTATATCGCAACGCTGAAAGTCATCAAGCTCGAAGAGATAATTATGTTGTTCTGGCTGATATCAAAATTGACTATTCTCTATAATAACTATGCAACCTCAGCGGGGGGTACTAATTAAACGTCTCTCGATCGCGAGAAACAATGCAACGGCGCATTTAAAATTGTAAAACGCACAAAAATATATCCATGTACATTGTACTCTCTCATACGTATAGCTTTCTCTATCTCAATATCTCTTTTTTTCGTTCTTTGCGTTCGATCATGAAAATAGCCACGCGGGTATGTGTATACCTCGCCTCTTCCGTTTATTCGACCGTTTTTATAAGTTCGCGAACTCTGCGTTCTTCCAATAATGCACGAAAACAATTTCACAGTATAAAACGAAACACGTACGAGGTTTTTAAAAAACCTTCAATTTAATGTAGATTCAATATCAAATAGGGCATTAAAAGCAGGGTAACCGATCATGTACCACCAAAAAATTCATGTAAATCATAACAATTTCATGTAAATCATAACAAATATCATAAACATTACTTTTACTGCAACAATGAATAAAAAATATTTCATTTTATTCTTCAATTCGAACATTTTAATTGAAATTGTTGAAAAAGGTATGAAAATGCCATTATAATTACAGCCAAAATCTAGCACTAGGTGGTGAGTACACGTATATTTGTGAATCTGCAAGTGCTAAAGTCATAATAGTTATATATTTAAATCAGGGTTTGGCATAAGCATTTAGATTTTATTTGATCGAAAAGTAATTGTACGATCTCAACAGTAATGTTTCAATACTGTTTTACGTTGATTGCTCAAAATTTTATTATAATTGAAGTCATCCTTCACCACTAGATGGCGAACACCATCATCTGTAAATCTGTAAGTCGTTACATATATAAACCATATATGAATACGGAGCAATGTGTCGCGAATCCAACAGTATCGTTAGCAAAATCATTTAGGGGCTGTCGTTGCTGCTGTTGCAGCTCCTCGGATATCGAAGACGTACAATTGCGAGCTTTTACAGTCGATGACAGTACACGGATCGTCGACTGCGCGACAATGCCGGCCTCTGTCTCGTCGCTGCTTCTTTTTACTTGCGTTCGCGTGCGGTTCAAAACTTGCACTTTTCTGCATATATATCTGCAACGTCGATCGCTTATCGAGTCGCATGTGTTTTTCGATAAAAATGCCAAATATAAACGTATCGCGTGCACATATGCCCTCCCGATCGTTCGTTCGCAGATATACACGTAACAAACACGGCACTCGTGGGTGCGTTGAACGCAAACAGCTGAACGGAGCATATTGTTCTCTCTCTCTCTTTCTCTCTTCGGAAATATATACGCGATATGTACGCAGACGGTGCAGCTCTCTTATATGTATATGTGGTGGTGGTGTATAGACCGCAGCGCGTCACGGAGAGGCGCCACGCCCCGGCTCATTTAGCGAAGCCGGAGTATACAGAGATGATCGTGGGCACATAACCGGATCGAGCGGATAATGACTGCCACGGGACGACGACGAGGAGGCAAGTTGTTGCGCACCTTAAATGTCATTTTCAACGAGTAGTAAGTACCGAGAGAGAGAGAGAGAGAGATAGAGAGAGATCGTCGCGGCCGAGCCGCGATTTATTGGCGCCGCGCGCGGCATCGATACACTTTTCCGCGTATACATAATAATGGGCGAAAAGAAAGAGAGAGAAAATATCTCCACCCCTCCCCTCATCTTCCATCGCCTCATGATCAATAGGTCGAGGAAAATTTTACACTCGTTTATACACGCGCAAGCACACTTATAAATATATACGTATACATACATTTCTTATGTATATACGCTGCAGTGAAAGAGAGACTTTTCAAGCCCTCTCTCCGGCACTGCTCTTAGTTCGTGTAATTACGACGAGGGTCCTTGAAAATTTGTAAAGCTAATTTCGCCGAAAGACTAAATCATCGCCGCGTTGCCGGCGACGCGTGGCGCCTATATACGTATATATACTGTACGCCATCCTCGTCGCTTTCGTCGACGTCGACGTCGCGGCAGCAGCAGCAGAAGCGAACGAGGAGAGTAAGAGCGGTTACACGCTTAGCGAGGCTGAAAAATCAGAGGAGCTAACATCAAGACGTCGTAATTCAAAAATAGCGTGCCGAAAAACACTTAGATTCTCTTCTCCTCATCCTCCACCTCTTCCTCCACCTCGCTTCCTTTCTCTTCTCCTCTTTACCCTGACATGTATAAGTACGCGCCTCGAGTCGATGTGAATATTGTATCTTTTATACGTTGTGGTGCAAGCTGATCTATCCACTTTTCCTTTCTATTGGATTTTTTTTCAACTTCTATCTTTGGTTGACTATTCTAAATATTTAGCGTTTGAATAAACACTGCATTACACTGATGAATACGTCGTGTCGCTGCGAATGACGTAAATATCCGCCGCTGAATCGTGATACTTCCGCGAAAAATTTGCTGCAATGATAATAAACGCATTTGTTTCAACTTGAGCATAGCGTAAGCTGAATATTCTCTTATTTAAATATTTCTTCTTTCTCAGTCTCGAGTAATACGAGGGCACAGAGCTCGAGAGAGAGAGAGAGAAAGAGTGAATGAATGAGAGATACAAGAAGTTTCAGACTTTTGTATGGATTTAATGAGTGAAGTTGTTATAAGTTGAATTTCTTTCGAGACATTTTATGTTATGACAAAAAAAAGAGAGACTGCGAATATCAACAGTACGAGAGAGGAGGGAACGAGCGAGAGAGCACGGCAAGAGGGTAGGCTCGGCCCTTTTCAAGAAACTTTACTTAATCTTGGTTACGAGCATAAGAAGAGACGAGAGAAAGACGATTTAAGTCCAAAAGGCTGCATATTCCATTATTCTCGAACAAATAACCATTTCATCGTGGAAAAAGGATGGTCACAATTAAGAGGAGTAGAAAATTTTATTTTCCGCTTATTTATAGCCGTCTTATCATATTGCACCGCTCCGCTACTCCTTGGCGTGGATTAATTTCAATTACAACAATTCGCCCCGGCCGCTTATTATAACTCGCGTCCGATTTGTTACCAATCCAATCTTGGCCTCGCGCATAATGCAATAATAATTTATCGCGTTTGCTTTAATGAGAAATTGTGAACTATGAAAATACAGACTTATCGGTGATATTTTACAATAGCGACTTTAAAACCCTCGTGTGTAAGCAGGCGACAATCTAACACATGATCGACCATAATAAAACGTGTTAACATCGCGTTGAATTGATTAGTCAAATGCAATTAAAAATTAAAACGCACACAGCTCTCGCTCTCTTTTGGAGCGAATTTCTTTCGCGCACCCGTTACGCGTTTTAACGCCATTCGAAACTTCGACGACTGCTACAGGGCGAGGCACCGGAATACGTATTATATATATAATACAAGTCGTTACAGGCAGCAAAGTGGAAGAAGGAATTATTTATGCGCACCTCTTCCCACACACCTCTCTTTCTCTCTCTCTCTCTTGCTCTGCCACGAACGACAAGACATCTCTCGTTCAGCGTATATAGCGTGCCGATATCACGCTAATCGACGACGACAGACTTGCCACGCGCGCGCACGGTTATACATACATATATACATGGCACACGCTTGGCGCGCACCTTGTGTATGTATATACGTAGGATGGTATACGAAGATGTATAAAGGCTGCCTCGAAGGAGCAAAACGTCGACTACGTATAGCTTGCGAGAACGATAACGCCCAAGTTTAACTCGCTCCTTGCCCCTCGGTGGCGGCGACGGAGGCAGTAGTAGTAGTAGTAGTAGTAGCAGAGGGTGTCATTGATCTTTCGAAATACATCCTAGAATACGGCTCGACTCTGGTGGAAAAGGGATAAGCCGCGCGTGTGTGTGGGTATGCACGCGGCGTTGTTGTACAGGTGGGGCTGCTTTTATTCAGCGCGACGTGGCCCTCATGCCCGCGTACTGCAATGTAAGATTATAGGCCGGATGAAATTGACTCGCTGTGCGAGCAGAAATGTCAAAAAACAAAGAAAAAAAGAGAAAAGAAATACAAGAAGTAGAAGAAGAAAGAGGACGACTCGAAATTGCGCGCGCACGAGGCGCTGTGCGTTAAGGCGAAATGCATATACGCGAGGGAGATGCACGCGCTGAATTCATCGCCCCGCGTGCTTGTGTATACGTATATGTCATGCAGTTGGGTGTATGTGTGTGACAATCAAGGCCTCGTCCCACTGCATTATTATGCGTTTATATAGCGTACACCGCGCCACATATGTGCATGTCTCTCTCTTTCTCTGCGTAATGCGATGTGCGCGCGCGGTTAATAACAGGATGCGCCGACGCGCACAAAGGGCTTTACTGTGTGGCTCTGCTCTCTCTCTCTCTCTCTCTCTCTCGAGGAGAAGAAGAAGACTATCACCTACTACTACAAATTGAGGAGCACGAAGCGCGCTCCCTCTGGCAAGTATGACAGAGAGAGCTGCGGCGTTACGCTCCTCGTAGAAATACGGAGCATTGGCCTTTTTCGCTACCCGCGAAAACTCTTTTTCACTATCGTTCGAATTTGATGGCAGATATCTTGAGTCTAAAAAGTGCTATAGATTTCTGGATCAAAATGCAATTGAACGCGATTCATATAATGGTCCCAGAAAAATTTATAACTACGAAGTACGAGTGGGTTATAAGAAAATAATATACAAGCTGTATGTTATGGGCTGTGGATACATTTCCACACTTGCATTTATATACCTGTTGATGATATGCAATTCTATTTTTTCTCAACATTACAATACATTTATACATGAATTTTAGTTGCGTGAGGCAAGTTTACACATTTTCTGGTGTACTACCGCGCATTAGTGCGTTAAAACTTTGACTTGGCCTACACACGTCCATCCTGCGCCACAGTTTATAAATTTACATGATCAATTTCATGTAGTAAATTACAGACCAAAATCAATATTTACATAATAACGAACTCGTCATTTTTTAAATAATACTTAAACTTGACAAAGATAATTATTGTTAATACAATACAATAATTGCATCATCAAATAAAATGTTTGTTACATTAAAAACTTGAATTCTCTCTAATATTGGGTGACTGCCTAACACTGTGTGAGAGATCAAACTTTGTCTCTATATAAATGACTTTTGACAATTCGCACAATCACACAACTCAGGCTTCAAATTAAGACTTGTTGCTTTTTTGCAACCATCACTGACATAACCCTTTTGGCCTTTATAAAATTTCTTTCGAAATACATTTTGCATTTTGACGTATCTTTGTTCGTCGTGATCAGTTATGCTGTGGTTGGTTAAGATGTGTTCTGTCGTATATACTTCTGGACGAACGTCACAAATATTTTCGATTTGTTCCTCGTAAACTATTTTTTGGTCTTCCTTCACAATATCCTGCTCTGAAAATACTTTCTGACTCGCGTTGCACTCATAATCTTTTCGTCCCTCGTGAATCATTTGGTGTTCCTTCAAATTGTCCAAACGTGAAAACGCTCTTGGACACACTTCGCATTCGTAGTGTTTTCGCTCTATGTGAACAGTTTTGTAGTGTCTCGTCCTATGGCTTCGATTAGAAAATGCTTTTTGACACACATCACATACATAGTCTTTTCGTCCTTCGTGAACTATTTGTTGGTGTTTCTTCAAATAGCTTCGATCAGAAAATGCTTTTTGACACACTTCGCATTCATAGTCTCTTCGTTTTTCGTGAACTTTTTGTTGGTGTCTCTTCAAATAGCTTCGATCAGAAAATGCTTTTTGACACACATCGCAAACGTAGTCTCTTCTCCCTTCGTGAACAGATTTGTGATGAACTGTTAAGTTCCGATTTGTTCCAAACTTTTTTTGACACACTTCGCACTCATAGTCCCTTCGTCCTTCATGAACTAATCTTTGGTGTGCCTTCAAATTTTCCACACGTGAAAACGCTCTTTGACACACTTCGCATTCATAGTCTCTTCGTTTTTCGTGAACTATTTGTTGGTGTTTCTTCAAATAGCTTCGATCAGAAAATGCTTTTTGACACACATCACATACATAGTCTTTTCGTCCTTCGTGAACTTTTTGTTGGTGTCTCTTCAAATAGCTTCGATCAGAAAATGCTTTTTGACACACATCACATACATAGTCTTTTCGTCCTTCGTGAACTATTTGTTGGTGTTTCTTCAAATAGCTTCGATCAGAAAATGCTTTTTGACACACATGGCATACATAGTCTTTACGTCCTTCGTGAACAGCTTCTTTGTGTCGCTTCAAATGACCCTGTTGTTTAAATTTTTGTTGACACACATCACATTCGTAGTCCCTTCGTCCTTCATGAACTAATCTTTGGTGTGCCTTCAAATTTTCCACACGTGAAAACGCTCTTTGACTCACTTCGCATTCATAGTCTCTTCGTTTTTCGTGAACTATTTGTTGGTGTCTCTTCAAATAGCTTCGATCAGAAAATGCTTTTTGACACACATCGCATACATAGTCTTTTCGTCCTTCGTGAACAGATTTGCGATGAAGTGTTAAGTGCTGATTTGATAAAAACGTTTTTTGACACACTTCGCATTCATAGTCTCTTCGTTTTTCGTGAACTCTTTGTTGGTGTCTCTTTAAAACGCTTCGATCAGAAAATGCTTTTTGACACACATCACATTCGTAATCTTTTCGCCCTTCATGAATTCTTTTGTAGTGTTGTTTCATATTACTCTTCCCTGCAAACGTTTTTTTACACACGTCGCATCCGTATTTGTTATATCCTTCGTGAACTGATCTTTGGTGTTCCTTCAAATGGTCCAAATTTGCAAACGCTTTTTGGCACACATCACAACCGTAGTACTTTTGCTCTGCGTGAACAATTTTATAGTGTCTCGCTAAATTGTTCCAAGAAGGAAATATTCCTTGACACACGACACAGACGTAGTCCTTTTTTCCTTTGTCAAAATATGTTACATCTAATACTCTCGCAAAGGTTTTTTCATGAATATTGCTTGAATAATTTTTTCTTCCCTGGTGACCTAATTTTATTTGTGTATCCAAATCATATTTTCTTTCTAATGTTTCTGGTCGCAAGTCGCAAAAATAGTGATTTTCTTTGAGCTTATCCATTATTGCTGTTCTTCGATTTCTATTAAATATTTCACAACTTCAACCTTAAGAACTGGATGTTTCAAAAAATTTCGTGACTGTCCGGTTCAAAGGTTATATTATTTGAAATGTACATCTCACAACTGAATTTTCATAACTGATTCAAAAATATCATATTTATGTTTTCGTTTGTAAGAAGTGTCTGTGTTTGTTTATATTGGAAATCAGAATCTAATTGACAATTGTGTCGTCTACTAACGGCTATTAGTATAGACATGATACTAATACCACTGACTATATTATGTATTTGCTACAGACAAATAATTAAATTGAAACCCATATGTGAATTTCATGAACTTGGTAATAAAATATTTTAAAGTTTGGCACGTGAGTAGGAATATTTAAAAACGTTTGGCAGCAGCTCAGAAAGATAATTGAGACAATGAACACAAAGAAAGCAAAAATTTCAAATGTACGTGAAGAAACTAGTTCAACAAATATATTCCCCGAAAACGAATTTGACCACTTGGGGGTTAGCGATACGATATCTAGAGTCGACGAGATAACTAAAAAATAAATTGTTTAAAATATGCTAAAATGCATGGGCTAAGCTACATGCACGTGGCTCCTCAGGTAATGATGTTTATTTTACTTCCCCGCTAACATCATTTATAATAACCCGCAAAAATAAAGAGTACTTGGGAACAATATCATGCTATGTATTATGATTATAAATTTTATAATAAATTAAATGTCAAGACAAGAGTAAACATCGACGACTTATTCATTATAATGTTTATGTTATCCCCGTATATCTCTATTTACATCAATTGCCATACGAGTCAATTTAGTTAAAAATAATTCAAGTGTCTTTTTCGTCTAAGATTTATTTTCAAAAGCTATACCATGACGTAAATGTAATTGAAAGGGGACCAGTCACCCCTCGCACGTATTTATGCATTTATTTTCATGTCCATCCTAAGCCTGATTAACGCCGAACTCAAAATAGAAAATAAACTCATTTTCCTACGATCGTTACAAACCATATCTACGCCCGCGCGCGAACTTGCTCCATATACATGCATCATCGTTACGTCAAATTTGCTGCACTTTTAATCACTCGCGCGCGCGTCGCGGGCTTTTTGGAAAAACTTTCGCTTATTAGGAAGCCACGACGACGCGAGTACGCGAGCTCGCATGATATCGCGCGTGATAAAAGCAAATATTTAGTTCTAACATCTGTCCTTCTCTCTGGAGCTACACACTCTCTCGTGACTAAAACTCGAAACTCGCCGCGAACGCGTATACAGCAGCGATACATACACACGCCCACAAAGTCTCATCTCCGGCTGTTGCTGCCGCTGCTACTGACGCTTTTGCACTGTATACGTACTAGCGAGTGTTGCATGCGTATAAATGCGAGCGAGCGCGCGCATTTCGTGTCTCGTACCTTACTACTACTCTCCGCGGGGACTAAAATTTCGTCTCGCTCGCGCGCGCGCACATACACACACACATACAGCACACGGGATGACATTTAATAATTCACGCATAATCTATCTCGTGTACAGCTACTGCTGCTGCTACTCTCTCTGAGAAAACGCATAATATATGTCTATGCCTCTACTGTCGCAGAAAGTTTCCAGCTGCCAGAGGTGCATAATTCAAAGACGAGCTTGCTCTTGCATTGCCCTCTCTCACTCTCACCCGCTCACTCTCGCTCTCTCTCTCTCTATCTCTGTCTCGAACTTCTCTCTCTTTGTCTTACGCGCGTGTTTAACAAATGGCAAAATTATACATTTGTACATTAACAATTAGTGTAAGCCTCACGTGCGTCTGTCCCGTAAATTACCCCCGATCGACTCAATTATGCATGCATCTCGGGACACTTTATAATGCGTACGAATTCGACCCTGTCCTTCGTTTCGTTTCGCGGACCCATGATCACGAATCAATCGGCGCACAACGTAACCGACACACGATCCTCGCCCCCGTCATCGGCTCTTCTCTCTCTCTCTCCATCTAAGCGTGAAAATTGCATGTTATTAATGTCTCGCTCGCAGCGGGCCGTATAATATTTTGACATTCATCCGTCATGCGTATATGTATAGCTGAAAGCCCCACGGCCACGCCGCGCGTATACGTCTAACGTGTATTATGATAATGCGTATCGGCGTACACGTACATATATGAGTATGATTCACCAAATTATTTTCCTTATTCGCGCCCGAGTTAGCTAGCCCCGGAGTATAAGGAAGGGTCCGCAAATAAATCGTCGAAGGGGTACGCGCATTGTATTTGTATTAATGCAAAGGAAGGCAAGCAGGCAGCGTTTTGCCCTTTTACTCGCAAATGATCCTCGAATTGTTGTAATAGACATTCGTGGCGAATCGCTGTTAAACATATAGAATGTATTATGTGTAATGTCGAAGAATATAAACGTCGCCGCCACCGCCGCTGCTGTGTACGTTTATGGTAAATAGTTTGATTCGTTTTCGACAACTTGAGCATGAAATATTAGAGAATTCGAGCAGCTCCACGGCTCATTTATGAACTCTCCCAAAGGCCGACAAATCCCTCTACAGACGATTTTTTTTTTTTTTTTACATAATGCTTCGGAATCGGAAATGCACCTTGTGTATACGCGAGCATAACTCCTCGGTAGAAAGGGCATTGTTATTCACGTTAGGAGAGTAAGGAGCCGAGCGAGAGAGAGGGAAAAATGTCAACGAACGGAAAAAACGCGAGTTGAAAAAGGAGCCATAACTCGATTTATAACGCAAAGTAAAAGCGAAGAGTTTGAATAATTTTACATTATTCGCATTTCTATTATCCAATCGCTTTCGTATTTTTTTCTCTCTCTTCTCTTATTTTTTTTTATTCCTGCGCGCTTTACGTCCTCGCGTGTTCTCGGGCTTGCTTTTCGACGAAGCAGCGTCAAGTAAAATCATCATCGCCGAGGAAGGAATACATAAAGAAGCGAATGAAGTATTTTTTGTAAAATCAGCGCGTCAGTATTGACACAGGGGCGAAACGTGTGTTTTTACAAAAATCAACGTCGTCGTCGTCTTCGTGGAAGTGCGTCAAATATTTTCTACTGTCTAAAAATGAAAAAATAAAAAAAAATCAATTGTGCACCAACCTTCAACGATCAATTCATTTTCACTGAAGTCGAGTAATTTTTGCTAAATCCATTCGATGTACAAAAAGTTTGATGCAGGCCTCGTCTAAATTCGCAAGGGAAAGAAAAGAGAGAGAGAGAGAGAGAAAAAGAGAGGAAAAAAAATTAGTCCTCGCACGTCGTCACCCGTCGAGTTTCAGCACGCCGAAAAATTCTCTCAATTAGCTTTTACGAGCCATTCCCCGCGTACACATATATAGCATAGTATATCCTTCGCTTGCACACACACCCCCTTACATTATATCACCTGACAGTTCCCATAGCGCTTTGACTCTTGAGTTAATAGGTCGCATCGCGCGCAGGAGCGCCGACAGAGAGAGAGAGAAAAAGAGAAAGAGAGTCGCATTAAACGTCCTTGAATGGATATGTTCTGAAAGCTCCGCGCGCGCTGCGAGCTTATAATAAACGTGATAAAAGCTGCTGCTCATCGGTAATGTAGACGAAAGCAAAAATGAGAGAGAAAAAATTTACGCGAGCGATATCGCGCATGTATGCACAATGTCTGACTATTTATCGTCGCAACGCCTCGTGCCCTGCGCTACGAGATATATAGCGTATAACGTGTACATACGCCGGACTGAAATCGATACTCTCTCTGTCTCTCTCTCTCTCTCGGCATGGCAGCAGCGCACAAACATTCCGCTATATTACGCCGGACAAGTCACTCGAGTATTGTATATTATAACTCTCGTGCATCGTGCATACATATATGCATGCAGCGCAATGCTGCGCAGATAAAAAAGGGAGGCGAAAGATAATCACGACTATACGGTTTATCACGATCTATCAAAACAATTTGCAGAACACGTACATGCGGATTTATAATGTACTTTGTGCGCAGTACATCTGCGTCGCGCCTGTTGGCTGCTCCGTGCGTCCGATGCAATAGATTATATCGCTAAGTAGTCATAGCATATGAAATATACAACAATAAGCCAGATTAAGCTAATACGAAATACGCGCGCAACGCGACGCGACGCAGATGGAACGTGGAAAATATCTATTATGTATGCATTGAAAACATGCAAGTTGCATACACAGTCACAGGAGAGACATGTCGCGGGCTATATACACGCCAACAGCGGCTTATATTATAAGCTCAACGATTAATGTGGCAAATTTTTCAGATTTACAATTCACTTCTTTCTCCTTTTTCTTTTATTTTGTCTTTTTTCCTTTTTTTTTGGTTCGTCGCGCCGTGCTTCGCGCAGCCAAGAGCTGCTGCAAAAGCCATGAAATCAGCAAGATATACATTTCGCGTATACACACAGACGGACGCCTTTATCCGTATTATTCGCTCTCCCACGCGTCAAATGCGATAAAGTTCGAAAAACGACGAGCCAAAGAAAAATGTATATAACGCGCGTAGCGTTTTGTGCTCTTCGCACACATACATACATACATACATACACGCGGTATACGTGTCGCCATGCGTTGCTGCTTCTGCACACAGGTTCGCTTGCGCGACGATACCAGAGAACAATTTATGAACAGGCGCGCGCGCGCTCGAGCGCATTCCACCCACGTGAAATTTTACGTTATAATATTATCGTCCCGACGACGACGACGACGATGGCGTCGACGACAAAACAAAGTATAAAAGCGTATCTTTCGCGAGGATACGTTGCCTAATACTTTCCTTTTCTTTTTTTTAAATTCTTCTTTTGGTACTCGCTCGCGCGCGATTCATTTGTATTTAAAACGTGCCCAGCAGATAATGCGTCGTGTTAGCAGCGGCTCTCGCGACACCGGCCCCCGCCCGGCGCTGTGTGGGATTTCATTTATTTAACCGAGAGAGGCAGAGGAGAAGGGATACGAAACATGCTTTTTGCATTTCCAAAACTTATCGTCCCGACTCTCCGCGCTTTGTATGACATGTAATAGCATGAGATTTTTGTACACGTGTGTGTTTTTCGGGTGGTTTATTAATCGATGAAGCGAAATGTGATTGGCGAAACTTACGTTACAATAGATAAAGTTGCCACTGAGTGATTCGCGTCGTGTATCATGGCGATATCTCTTACCTGAAACAAGAAACAAAAACAATCGATTAATTACGGCTATTATACGTCGGTCATTATATAGGTTACAGCAAAAAAACGATAAGAAAGAAGAAAAAAAATAAATCTATTTTCATCGATCGATGTGCATGAAGTGCGCAGGGGCTCTCGTCTTCTCTCTCTCGCTCACTCGTTCGCCAAGATTTCATTCGAAACAAAAAATCAATCTCCGCTGCCGCTTTATTCTCGGGCGCTTTATCGTTAAAAATTCAACGGCAAAAAACGTAAGTTCGCTCTTTGCACAATAAAAAGGAAGAAAAAATCTTTCAATGGCAATCCCCCCGGCTCGTGAGAACGCGCGCGCGAGCGCGAGCGCCAACTGTTTGTTATATGTATCGAGATGTGCAGGGATATAATTTTCGCCAGAAAGGAGCTGGATATTTTTTCAATATTTCCAAAGGTCTGATTGCTTCCCAATGCGCTACAGCAGCAGCAGAAGCAGCAGCAGCAATGCAAAGGCAATCAGGATAGGA